TTTCAAGTTGTTGAGGGTCCGGCGTCCTTAAAATGCTGGACCCCTTGGATGTATCTCGACTTAGCTGGAGTCCAGGGGGTACGACGTTCTGAAAATGTCGTACGCCCTTGGATGTATTTGGACTTAGCTTACATCCAAGGGTAGGGCGTTTTCAGAACACCGTACCCTCAAGAGCTGAAAATATCGACCTAAATCGGACCAATTTATGAGTTTTCAATTTCGTTCAAAAAATAAAATATGTTCGTTTTGATGAAATTGCTGTTGTATCAGGATTCAACCATCGATCTGTTTCTCGACAACTTTTGGATGTAACATTTTTGGGACATCTATTGGTGTACCATTGGTTTTGTACTCCCTGGCGGGGGGCTAGGTCTCATGCCTCAATGTTTTGTACGCAGTCGAAAAGCTTCACTTTACTCCAGAAACTTTTGTCGTGTAGTGGAACTTTCATTTTCAGGTGTGTTATGCAGACGAATTCGGGGTTGATGCGGGGTTTTATCAGGGGCTGAGCCGGAGGAAATGGGGTTGAAGGTGTACGGTCGGTAGTCGTGTAAGGTGTTAGGTGGGGGATTGACAGTGGCTCGTGCATATTGGGTGGCGTCCGAGCGCCTTTTAGGAAAATATATTTTTTTGTCGTTGCCCTACATGCACAGTTCCGTAGAKGGAAGTAGATGTGTTTTTTWTCAAACGTGGTKTTTCCACGGTACCATTTTTTTTTTTTTTTTTTTTTTTTTTGCTTAAGAATGACGGAAAAAAACAAGATTTGATAGAAAATAGAAAGCATTCCTAAAGCGAATCCACGACCGAATGAATTCCACTTATTCTCTCAACCAACTGAGCTAGCCAGCTCCCCCACGGCCAGCCCCGAGAAGCATTTCGGGCTCACCAACAGAGATTAATCGCTTGGGGCCCCCTTCTCCTCCTCCTCCTTATCCACCACCTCCTTCCTCCTCTCCTCCTCCTTCTCCTCCCACTCCTCCTCCTCCACCTTCGCCTCGTTTTCGTTTTCCTCCCTCTCGTACTCCTCCTCTTCCTCCTCCTCCTCCTTCCCCTCCCCATCACTTTCCTCCTCCTCCTCCTACACCTGCTCCGCTTCCTTCTCCATTCCTCCTCCTCCTCCTCCTCCTCGTTAGAACCCTTAAAGTTTGTGGTGTCTGGGTTAGCAAGTTGTTTGACACCGTAGCTCTACTTTCGATTCATCCTGCATCGTCAGTTCTACTTACAAAAAATGGCCCACTTTGAGCTTTCATTTATCCTCGAGGTTAACTTAGGCAACCTTAGAAATTTTACCTATTTGAAGTTTGAGAATAGGTCGAGGGTGTTTCACCCCTGAGGTCTGTAATCGTTCGCTTTACCCGATAAAACTGTTCAACAACTCCAACTATCATGAGGGAAACTTTGAAGTTACCAGGTACTAAACGGTTCGATTAGTCTTTCGCCCCTATTCCCTTATCCAGTGAATGATTTGCACGTCAATATACATGTGAACCTCCATAAAGAGGAAGGCTCGCCTCGAACTCAACCCGCCTCCCAACCCTCCAAACCCTTTTCTTATTTTAATAAATCAAACAATCAATCAATCAATCAAACAAACAAAAAAAAAAAGAAAAAATATTATCCAATCGAATCAATTTCGAAATGAAGATCCAATCGAATAGGACTAGGCTGGTCGCCGGGACGCCCGGGGCCTTGGACGTCGCCCGGGAAGGGGGCCTGGCCGGTTGTCACGCCCGGTTGACCATCGGGCTGTCCCAACGCAAAACGCCTGAGGGGTTCTCGAGAGGCCGAATCGGTCTGGGCCGCCCCCTCAAGGCCGGTAACACACGCCCTGAAAAAGAAGTGTGAATGGCAGCCCCCGCCAGCATTCAAACATTCGAACGTTTCCCTGCTGGCGGGGGCTGCCATTCGCGCTTGGTTAAACTTTGTGAATGGCAAGGTCGTCATCGACATGCCCTGTAGTCGCGACCCCCCAGATGATATGCGGGCCATAGCCACACACACTCTGCCGCCTCAACCTATATCGGCCGCTCATCCCACCGGTAAGAGTGTGTGTGTGTGTGTGTGTGTGTGTGTGTGTGTGTGTGTGTGTGTGTATTTGTGGGGGGGGGCGCGACCCCCCCACAACAAATCAATCAACCAATCAATCAATCAATCAATCAATCAATCAATCAATCAGAAAAACAAAAACAAAAAAAGAAACTGACATTTGCCCCGCGTGTGTGAGAGAGTCAGTCCCGCTGCACTACTCTTGAATCTTGAAAAACCAAGAGTTCATCACCGCTGCCCTAACTCTTGATGCCGCGTCCTGGATTTCTATTCAAGAGATGTGAGATTCACTCTCGAAAACGTCGAGAGTGAGTCATCGCTGCACTGACAGTGGAAAACTGCTCTTGGTCATGCGCTTCAAGAGGTGTCAGAAATGGCCCATCGGACGAGCTCTTGAACTTTCCACAGTTCCCCCCTGCAGGAGCGTTTTTTTCAAACAAGTCCGGAGTAAGTGCAGCAACGACAGCACTTGATGCCAATCCAGGAGTCTGACAGCGCTAGACGAACTCTTGAAATTTTTCACGTGTCTAGCGTAGCGCAGCGAGGCCCAGTGTTTGTGTGTTGTCATATTCGCTATACACCTAGGCTACCAGAGTGGCCCAGGACCACTTGCTCAGCCGGGCAAAACAAATAAAATAAAAAATAAATTGCATGGTAACCGCAGACCCGGACACCGGACACTTCCGGACTGTCTTCCGGACCAGTGTTTGGACTGGTCCGGACTGTCCGGTGATCCAGACATCACCGGACACCGGACAGTCCAGACCGGTCCCCGGGGTGCAAGAGTGTCCGGACCCAAAAAAAAAAAAAAAAAAAAAAAAAACATTGACCGCCCGGACGTCCGGACTGGGTTCCAGACAGTCCGGTGTCCGGTGTCTGGAGTCCGGTGTCCGGTGTCTGGAGTCCGGTGTCCGGTCCCCATGTATGGATGGAGGCCCCTGGGGCAAAAATCAAAAAAAAAAAGGGGGCGGCCCAAGACGTTTGTCGGGTCCTAGCCGCCCGTCGAAAAATAGCAGGGTGATTTTTAAGTGTCCTTTCACCCCACTGGACATGGCCTAGAGGTCCAAACACAAGACACTGCAGGTTTTTGAGGTGGCGGGTTTCGCACAGGCCCGAGCAATATCAAAGCGGTCGTTTCGACGTGGCGCCCGCTGCTCCTGCCTGTTATGGAAAGAGAGAGAGAGAGAGAGAGAGAGAGAGAGAGAGAGAGAGAGAGAGAGAGAGAGAGAGAGCCATGACAGTGCTCTGCCAGTCTGAAGACTATGAGGTTCTGAATTGAACTGCAAAGCTCGAACTTTTAAGTTATATATGAAGTTATGAACTTAAATTACTAAATCCAAAGATCAAAGTTCAAAGTTAATCATACGGTTTTTTTTTTTTAATTCTTTGTTTCTTTAGTCTTGTCCCTGCTTTGCACTGTTTGCAACTCTGCATGTCTGCTGGTTAAATGTGCTGGTTGATTTGGTGCAAGACACGTGCTCTGCTGCCTGAACTACAGAGTGCAAAGAAGGTAATGCCTGCCAACACCCCCACCCAACCTCTCCCCCCCCCCCCTTTTTTTTTTTTTTTTTCTCTTTTTTTGTTCTTTTTGGGTCCGGACATTTTTGCAGCCTGGGGACCGGTTCGGACTGTCCGGTGTCTGGTGATGTCCAGTGTCCGGTGATGTTCGGATCACCGGACAGTCCGGACCGGTTGTCGGGTTCTAGCCGCCCCTCGAAAAATAACAGGGTGATTTTTAAGTGTCCTTTCACCCCACCGGACATGGCCCAGGGTTTTGGGTTATATGTAGGGGGACCAGCTCAGATGGGGCTCTGGTTGATCTCTGGTACAGGTGTTTTCTTTTTAGTCCCGACCCTTTGTTGGTTAGTGGGTTTTGTCTTTGAGCTCAGCAGGTTTCGAATTGACGTCGGTTCTGCCTTTTGAATTTGATGAGCTCTTGGGGCTTGGATGGGATTTGTTTTGGGCCCATCGGGTTTCAAACCGATGACGGCTCTGCTATTTCTTGATTCTGACGAGTTTCTG